AGCCGAAATTTAGCTGAAATAAGGACGATTTGCCTTATTTCCGATTTGCCTTATTTCGACTAGTGAGAGAAAAAAATTCTGTAACTATATAAAACCAAATTTTAATAAAAGTCCTTTACGATTACCAACTCACGAAAATGTAATAATACCTTTGTGAATTATATTGTACAGGTTCGTTAATCTCTACTTGGTTGTCTTAGTTGATCATGTCAATTATTGGATCCTGGCAATATTATTGATATTAGACAAAATCGGCAACAGTAATGTTTTCATTTTATATATACTAAAAGGGTTGGTACAAGTTAGTAGCAACTTTGAATATTGTACAACTAAAAATATTATCAATCTCGCCGGGTTTGTCCACAATTGGCGTGGTCCATAGCTTGCTTGGCTTTGTATGTTGAGTATAACTTGGATTTGGCTTTTCAAACTTTCTTTTTTTTACAATTTTTTCTATTTTGTCAGGTGAATATTCTTTCCAAATACCAATCTCTGGTAGAGGACGCACATAAATATATCCAATTTTTTCCTCATTTTGAGGTCAGGTCCATTCTTGAAAATTTGATATTCCTGTTATGGTACCTAACTTTTCTTTATCTAATTCCAAAATCGTTTACTAATTAGTTATTATTTAGTAAAATTATAACAAATTAGGAACAAACTCAATACCTGTATTTCGATCTGGATTTAAGTTTGCCACACGTGTACTGGCAATATTCTGATAGCATTTTCAATATCATCTCCACTTTCCACTTCAAATCCCAGTTTTACATACCGTTTTATTGCTTGTGCTATCTAAATAGTAAGTTTATTATTTTAGTAATAACATTTTATTTACAAAATAAATGATGCTTTGATTACTTAAGCGTGATGTGAGTCAATTGCTGTTTTAGCTTCCCCTGCTTCCAAAAAAAGCCATCGTCATGGAATAATATCGTACCATTCTTTTAAATGGCCTATAATAAGCATCAATTCTGTACAATGGTAATGCATTCCATTATCTGACAAAATTGTTATCCATTTAGGCTTTGGTCAAAGAGTTTCAAAAACAGTATGTAAAGAAGAAGCAGTAAACCAAGCATCCTGATGCGTATCACCAGACCAGTGATCAAACATTTAAACATCTAGGCAGTTCTTTTCCGTATCCTTAGTATAAACTAAAACTGAGTGTAGGCTCCAACCCCACTTTCCAAAAAAATCCCTTTTCATTTCTCTTGCACTTGTAGGTAAAATTTTCATCTTATAGTCTACTATTAGCACTGTGCCTTCAGCATCAAGTTCTTCAAGGTTGGTTCGTACATGAATGTTGAGGTTAAGGTTGCTTGTCTAAACCTCTTCAAAATCCTACGATTAGTTTCGTCAAAATTTTACTATAGATTTATTATAGTTTTGGCAGAGTTTTGGCAGTTTCAGCATTTATAATAAGTTTTGGCAGTTTCGCTTTTCTTCAAAGTTTTGCCAGTTTTTTAATATAACTTCACTTTTCGGCGAAACGCCATCTTGCCTAAACCCCTAGGTTTCGGCAAGTAACCTTAGTTGAGGTAAGTTTTACGTGCATGATGTGCCATCTATGCAATAAGTTTTGCTTGATAATTTTCAAGCGTATCATTAAATTCAGATCCTAATTGTTCTTTTAATTGATCAAAAAAACTGAACAGATTTTTGCAATGATCGCAAGTGCTGGGATGGTCAAGATCACAGTCTCCAAATGCATGTCGTATACAGTGACTGATGCATTTATCATGTAAAGCTATGCCGTCTGTTGTAATTGTAAGTGATTTGCAATATTGGCGACAGATATACCGTCATAAATGTTGCGATTTTTCTAATAATTGCTTCTATAATAATATAAAAATAATTAGTTACAAAAATTCATTGAAAAAGTATGCAGACTTATTTATTCTACATACCCGTATTAATTCATCAGATATATTTGCCGCAATTAATATATTGATATCACCAAATACTAGATAACCATTGTCATTACATGTTGAACATAATCCGCCAAGATTTTCCTGATATACAAAACGTCCCCCTTGGAGTTTTGTCATAAAAGAAGTTCTTCGCATACCATTAGGATACTGTTCTGAAAATCGTTCCCATAAGGCCTTTTTGTGATCTTGTAAATATAAAATTGGTTGTCCAGTAAGGGTATCTGTTTTGTATGAACTCATGTTTACAGTTTCTTTATTTGTGAAAAATTGCTTAAACTGATCTAACATTTTCACAGTAAATCTTTTCTGATGAATAATAGGTTTTGCTAATACTGAAGCTCCATATCCATTGGTATGTGCATGTTTACGTGATTCTGAAATTGTATGCCTCCCAACCTATATTATAAAAATATTACTTAGATTTTAAGATTTATTTGATAGTGTTAATATTGATAGTCAAAAAAAAATACTTACACCCAAATTGTTTTGCAATTCATCATAGGTAAAATCTTCAGCAATTATAGATAATATTTGACGTTTACCATCGTATGTTTTCTTGTTACTTGATAGAGCTTGATTAAAACAAGACCAAAAAGTACGAGTTGCATTGGGCATATGGATCAGAATAGGGGTAAGTAACCTTGCTTTAAATAAACTTGATAATGTTTCTTGTTCAGTGGTTGGGTTAGATGACTTTGTCTACAATTCAATCTTATGTATATTATATTGAATCAATTTGCTTGTATAGAAATACAAAGAATATGATACAAATTAGGGTGTCCAGAATTTGTTGGCGTGATGATCCAAAAATCTTGGGGTGAAAATCGTGAAAATCATAAAAATCGTGACCTTAATTTCGGCTTAAATTAACTTAATTTCAGCGAAATATATCCATAATTTTATATAAATTTATTTATTTAAAATCAATAATATCGAATATTACATTTGTAATTGCCATACTATTCTATTAAATCATAATTATCAATATTACTACCAAGATTAAAATATAGAAAATTAAGCATTTGAATGCTTTCTTCTTTAAGTGCTACTCTTCTATCTGATAAGATACCTTTATAACTAGAAAAACTACGCTCAACATCTACACCAGATACTGGCAACCATATATATATTAAAGCCAATAAACTAAGTTCTGGTAGTATATGTATTTTACTTCGCCAATATACATCTAAATCATTAAATTCTTCGATAGATTCATTAAATCCACAGTAAATAGCCCATTCTTGTATTAAAGCATCAGTTGGAAAATGAAATTCTTTAACAACTCTATAATCTTCCATATTATGATTAGCTGTATTAGATTGAATAAATCTTGGATTAAAATATTGTATTGCCTTGAATAATGGTAAAGTTGGATGTTGACATATATGTTTTTCACTTTTTTCATACGCCAATGTAAAAGCTTTAGCAAATAGTGGTATATAAGGATCAATATTATTATTTACCTCACTTAAAACTTGAATTATCTCATTTGAAATCTGAGGATTTCTTTTTCCTGATGAAAGAAAAGCTTGAAGATTTGTTATTCTTGAATAAACAAATGTAGCTATAGTTTTATTTCTAACTTTAAAAAATTCCAAATCATTAATCAGTCTAAATAAAATAATGCATCAGTATAATATAGAATTATTAAAACAATTAATTAACAATTACATACCGATTACAATTATATGTAATAAAATAAATGAATATTTTAACATATAAAACATGGTTATTATTTTGACAAAAGTTATAGAGATCTCGAATAACTTTTGAATCATGGTTAATAGAATATTCTGCAGTAATAAAAGTAATTAAGTGAGAATATAAGGGTTTAATCCAACATAAAAATAAAAACCAGGAGTTCCATCGAGTCTTTACAAGTAATGGCGCTAGAGTAGGTGATTCAATACCACTTCGTATTAAATGCTCCTTCCAACGAATTTTTCTTTGTGAATTATAAGTAAACATTGTTTTGACATTCATAATTAGTTTATCAACTAATTCAAACTTTTGGAAATTCACCCAGGTTTCGCCAATTAAATTGAGAATATGAGCTAAACAACAGTTATGCTTTAAATTTGGTAAAAAAGGAGATAAATGCGAAAATGCTAATTTCATATATGAAGCATTATCAGATATAAAAAAAATAATATTCTGATAAGAAATATTATAAAAATGAATGGTATTCATAACAAATTGTGAAATGGATGAAGCATTAACATTAGACAAAAATTCAGTTCTAGCTAATTTAGTTTGATTATTAAAACTAAATAAAAGATTGACCGCATGCCGCCCACAATGATCTGTTGTCTCATCAATCGTTAAACAAATAATTTTGTCAACAATATCATTTTTCAATTTTTGGAGCTCTACTTTATATGATAAAGGAAGATATTTTTTGCGAAGTTGATTTGCTCCAGTAATTAAACCTCCTACAAATATAAATAAATATATTAAATAAATTCAATTATAATAATATATAAAAATAGAAAATTTATACCATTATTACAATGCCTTAATAAAAATGGTTTTAATTTCTCTATTTTTTCCAAGGGAATATCTGCATGAGTAAAAGCCTCCACTACTTCTTTATTAATTTTCTCTCTTTCATTTAGTGTATTTTCAAATGAAGGTAAAGTTCTTTGAAGTAACGAATTAGAATTATTTTTATTTTTATTATTAAGGTGCTTTACTGTTTTAATATGTTTGTCTACAGAGTCTTTTCTTTTATGATCAACTTCTACATTACAAAAGTGACACCATAATAAATTCCCTTGTACAATATAGTTTTCTCGATATTCAGCACTTTGTAATAGACGTACATGAGGTGCAACCATTTTGTTTGTTTATCGTAAAAATACTAAGATCACAAAGTATTAAAGTAGTTAGTGAAAAAAAATTTTTAAGATTTATAGATTATCAATTTACTGATCATATGATTTATTATCCAATCAAATTCAAATATCGCAAAAATTGCAAATTTTTGGCAAAAATTGTGATCACGCCTAAATCGCAAAAAAATAGCCAAATTCGTTATAAAATTGTGATCAACAAATCCTGGACACCCTAATACAAATTTACCTCCGATTTGCCACACAACCATGGAGTTACATTGGTACATCCAGACGCGTGCAGTATTGCTTTCCATGCTCTAAACTCACGTTCATCAAAATTATAATTATGTGGGTATATTATTTTCAAATGAGATTTCAAATCAATTATTGTAACATCTGATTTAGCCCAACTAATAACAAATTGGTGCCAATTAATGTTCGTTAGCGTTCTTTTTTTTAGGTGATAATTAAAAAGGGGTTTCATAATAGATTCATCTTGCCAATTTTTGAGTTTGCAAGTAGGAACTTGATATTTTCGTACAAGTTGTTGAATTACTGAACTAGTCAAACCAAAAAGCTGAGTTCCATTGTATTGTTGAATTAGTCGTGTATTTTTCCAAACATCATCTGGACTTATCCCAGTAAATCTTTTTTTTAGTTGAGAATCTTGATAAATTTCCACAACACAATATTTATTTTCAATTTCTGATACAAAAATTCCTTGTTGCTTTTCAAATGTATTTTGAAATCTGATCCCGCATGATTCTATTCTTCATATGAAGAACAACCAATAGCATATAAAAAAATTTTATACTTTCCAAATAAACATATTATTGGAAAAAATTCAACGTCATTTTTGAGTTTTTCTAAAATATTTTCATCATTCCAGCCCATAATTGCATGACCTGAATATCGTGTAGAATTTTTGAATATGTTTGCGTATACTGTTAAAATTGCTTTTGTTAGACTGGCTTCAATTACTTCTACCTGATCGCTTATACAATAATATTCTGGCAAATTGTTTGCTCCTTTTATAACTCTCAAAAAAAAGTCATTTCCATTGAGAAAAACTTTAACCTTTTGACCTAGACGAATGGGAAAGTTTACAGTATTGTTTTCAGTTGAAAAGTCCTACCAAAAACGAGAATATGGCCCATAATGAAGTTCTTGTACTAGTGAACCATTATCCACAAGCATTACAGACAGTTGACAAGTATTTTTAACCATGTTATAAAGATTAAGTAGTAAGCAGTGAGAGATGTAAAATGCTCTTCATTTTATTATAGTTTATTATCCCCAAATTTATTAGGCATTTTTACGTGTTTAGTGCCAATCTCTGGCGAATTACATCTTAACAGAATATCTAGTAAGTTATCCTAAATTATTTATAGAATAATCTGGTGAAAAGCTTTATATAGCTTCATATATATTACTTTTCTTCTTCCTTCAATTCTTTTTTAATTAAATCCTAAACTAATTGTAATCTAAATTCCTTATATTCAATATTAAATATAAATTGACAATTGTAGTATATAATAATCAAAAAAATAATGATATTCAGATTCTTCGTACAAATAATTGAATCAGTATTATTAGTTAATTTGTAATATTTACACTTTCTATAAAATGATTGTAATTGTCTATTACTATGGTCTATAAAGATTTTTTACTTGTACTTTCAAATATTGCTTAAATTTTAATTATATTAGTACTTATTTTTATAATCAATATCTTATTATATAGTAATGCTAATTATTTCTAAAAAATAATGCAAAAATAAAGTATATATATGCTAGAAATTATGTATATATAGGAGTAAGTATTTTTTACTATGGGCCTTACATTTAGGAAAGCAAAATGACTTTTAGTATAAATAATTATATTATCAATTTTAATTTTCACTTCTATATATATGCAGAAAATAAGAATATAATTTTTGCAATTAAGATTTCTAAAGATAAACAAATCTTTAAACTTGAAAATTAAGTGAGAAAAAAGTTGAGACTAATTGTTCATAATGATTTTTTCTGTTAAATTTTATTCTGAAGAGAAGCTTATATTAATAGAATATAGAATTTTTCCTATTTTAATATAATACCTAATAAAGAAGATTATATCTATATCTTAACAAGTAGTTAGATTTTTTTATTTATATTTGTATTATGTAAAAGTAATATATTCACAATTTTTTTTATATATTATTATCAATATTTTTTTATAAATATAATGAACATTTGGTATATTATATATATATATATAGTGGTCAATGTATGCTATATATTAATATACTTTTATATATAGTTCATTACCATACATTAGTCACTATATACTATACATTCAGTTGGTTACCATAAAATTCCACTTACTTATAATAAAGGTCACTATAGAAAATTGGCCTTTTACTAATAGTTTTACCTTACTTTTTTTCTTAAATTCTATTGGTTAATTAGTTAAAAAGGAAAAAAATAATAACAATATAACATAAAATTTCTTTTTATAGTAGAATATTTATATATGATTTTTACTTTAGGTTTGGGAGTGATTTATTTTATAAGTAAATAGAATCCTGTCACCATATATCTATATATTAACTACTATATATATGTTTATAGGTGTTTATACATAATATCTTTTTTATAAATCTTATTTCATAAATGAAATATACATGAAAAAGGGTTTTGCAATAGGAATTAGAATTGATTTTCAAAATGAGAATCAATTTAAGAATTGATTAATCATTAATTAATCAAAGCTCAAGATTTGATTCTAAGATTCGATTTTCAATTTTAATTAAATTGATTCTAATCGATTTTATGCATCATAAAAAAATTAATTATTCATAATTAAATTTGTGACACAACAACTTTAATAGGTGAAAAATCTAGGCATTGCTAAATCTCACCGCTGGCTTAATTTTAGTCAGAATTATAATTTGGCTAGAATTAATTGTGTAACCTAATAAAAACTTTTTCACAAATGGGTGCAAATATTCAGTTAAATCTTGTGTAACTTACTACATAAATTACTTATTTGAATTATTTTGTAATGGTTAAAGGTAGTTTAAATGACCCTAAAAATGGTAAGTTTGGTATACTTAATTGATAGATATTTGACCACTTTTAGGGTCATTTAGACCACTTTTAACCATTAATTAAAGTCAAAAACTTTTTTTATTAGGTTACATGATTAACTCCAGCCAAATTATAATTCTGGCCAAAATTAAGCGATAAAAAATACCTGCAGTGAGATCAGTTTAGCAATGCCTATTATTTTATCATCACGAAGTTAAACTAAGCATTTACCAACCATTTATTAAATGCTTTATGAATATTTAATTTAAGTGCTTATTAAATAAATTTTAACACAACTTGTATTCGATAAGCATTATTTTTTTATTGCTAATATATTAATAAATTTATGTATTAATTTGCATTAAAAATTAATATAACTAAAATACTTAATTTAAATGTATAAAAAATAATAGTATGTTATGCTAATTTAATATTGATATTCAATATTATTTTACTATTCAATTTTATTATTATATTTATTATGTATATTGTTCTGTTATATTACATAGTATGATGTATTTTTCAGTTTATATTACAACTAATTAAATTTCCATCACCTCTAAAGACACTCCCTGCTATTTAAAATTAAAAGACTTCCAATTCTTTAATGAATTTTTATACATTTGGAAACCAGGTTGTCTAATAAAAAAAGAGAATAAAATTAAATTAATAAAACTAGTTTACTAAAAGAAATACATTAAAAAAAATACTTTAGATTCTTCTTACCGAATTTCTACACTTCTAAAGATTTGGTCATTTAGTCATCTAAAAAAAAAAAATAAAAATCAAACCGTTAGTAAGACATTTTATTAAAAGAAATAAATCAAAGAAAACTTCAATACTCACCAAAATCTACATGTTCAATAAACCGATTGTCTAAAAAAAAGAGAAGAATTGAAGTACCTAAATCCAACGTGTTCAGACCCGAAAAGTAAGCCATCTAAAAAAAGAGATAATGAAACGTTAGAATTGTTTCATTAAAATAAATAAAACATTCTGATTTTTTACCAGAATCTAAAATCCATTTAAAAAAGAAAAATAATGAAACGTTAGTAAACATTTCACTAAAATAAATAAAAGAAAAACAAATAAATTAAAGAAAAAACTTATGAATCCACATCAAAGAAGTTTTGAAGAAGCTGACTAAAAAAAAAAGAAATAAGATGAAACATTAACAAGTGTTTCGTTAAAATAAATGAAAGAAAAAATTACTTACTTAAATGTCATGTTCAAAGAGTGAAGACCTGCCTAAAAAAGAATAAAAAATGAAATATTAGGTTAACGTTTTATTATATTGAAGAATTGAAGTTTAAAAATAAACTTAAATACCGTAATCTGCGTGCTTTAAAGACCCAAAAAGCTGTCTAAAAAGAGAAAAAAGGCGAAATATTAGTAAATGTTTCATTAAAGAATAATAAAAGAATAATAAAAAGTGGTCCCTTTTCTACCAAATTTTTACACATTCAGGTACTTCTCAAATTCAATTCCAGATCCTAAAATCAAAGACATTGATATCTATAAAAAATAAGAAAATTAAAATTAAGAATAAAACATTAAAATAAAAAAATATAAATTTAAAGCATTTCCTTCAAAACTTACTGAAGTCAAATCTAAATTTCTTCAACCCAAAACCTACCAGATCAAAGATTCGCAGCCAAACTAACCGATACCTATAAAAAAAAAAGAGAAAAAATTTTAAAAAAAAACTTAAAAATTACATAATTTTTGCCTTGAATTTACTAGATCCAAGACCCAAACCGATATCTACAAAAAAAAAATAAATCAAGTTAAAAAAGAAAAAGAAACAAATTTCTTAAAAAAAATCCTATTTTTTACCTTATAAAGCCTGGTTTCATATCCAAGTTGGCGCCTTACAAAAAAAAGTAATTTAAAGAAACGTTAGTAAAACGTTTCTATAAAATCAACTTTAAAAAAGCCCTCACCTTCTGAAGCGGAAATGAGGTCTAAACCATCTACTAATGTCCAAATCCCAGAAATTTGAAAGACCTGCCTAAAAAAGGGGACCGTTAAAGCAGAGTAGAATCACGTGACTTTCGAAATTTTTCTTTTTTTTAAATAAAACTCTTTATTATATATAAAACCTTCTAAATAAACATATATTAAGTGCATTTTGACCTGTTCTGCAAGTTTACTTAGAGCACAAAATGAGGTTTAGAACACCGTTTTCGATTTATTCAACTTTTTCAATTTTGTTAAAATTGATCTATCCTTTTTTGGGTATGATCAGCAAAATTCTTTTGCTCATATGTAAAGTCAAAAACATTGTTCTTTTTCCACTTTTTCTCCCTAAGTAAACTTGTGGAGCAGGCTGAAATACACTTATTTAATGATTTTCAAGTTCACTTTAATTTTAGTTTATAAAAAATTTATCAAATCATAATAATTTTAAATCACGTGATTCTACCCCGCTTTAACGGGCCTCCTAAAAAAAAAAAGAAATGAACTATTAGTAAAGTTCATTTAAAAATAAAAAAAATAGTAAATAAAATTAAGTCTTACCGCCAAAAATTTGAAGAGTCCCTAAAAAAGAAAAACTAAAAACTTGTGCGTTAAACGAAACTCAAAAACCATTTGAAAAAAAGAAAAAATTGAAACATTAATAAACGTTTCGTTAATAAATAATACAAAAGAATAAACCAACTCCCACTCCCTTTTCCTTTTCCTACCAAATTTTCACGTATTCAAATGAATAAATCGAAACATCGAATCAAATTTTTTAAATTAATAACGTTATATTTCATTTTTTTCAAATGTTTATAATTTTTTTACGATTTAAACTTTTTTTAGAAATTTTAATATCAAGTCGCAGTAGCTTTTATAGTCAATTTACATGGTCAAAGCAGCGCAGAAAAAAACCTTGAAAAAATTTTGGAAAAATTCTGGTTAAATATAAAAATTCTGGAAATTTATTTTTTCAACTGGTATGGAATTAAAAAAAATTCTGGTTTTAGATAGTATTACCAAATATATAATAATCTTTTAACTTTTTTTTATTCGTGCATATACAATATGGAGTAACCAAAAAAGATGTACTGGCTTTAAATAATCATATTGTAATAAACTACTGAAATAATAAATAATAAAATTAAAGATAAAAAACTTTTTTGCGATATAAATTTATTAAATGAAATTTCTGGTATTTACAAAATATTCCAGAAATCTGCTACATCACGACCGGAACAATCTGGGATTATAAGATTTTACCGGTTTTATCAGAAATTTACCAGAAAAACTGGTTAAATTATAATGGATTTTTCACGCTGGGTCAAAGTGAGAGAATATAACTGTCTAAAAAGGTAAGAAAATGAGCCATTAGAAATTATTTCATTAAAATAAAAATAATCGAAGAAAATAAAATATAAAAGCTTACCGAAATGTCATGTCCAGGGGGACTAAAATAACTGCCTAAAAAAAAGGATTTTTTTTTTACAGATGCTTTTCAACTTTTTTTAAAACAAAGTATGAAAGGAAGAGAGGAAGAGTGAAGGAATGGAAGAGGAAAGGAACAAATTGGAAAAGGGAGCTAAAAAAGAAAATATACTAATATTTATTAGTATACCTTGTCGCACTAAGTGTGACATGTGATATTAAATGATTTCCCTTATATGTAACCATTTTTTTCTCAGAATACAAATAGTACATCAAGTAGATGTCACTCCTACTATACCATGCCTTCATTATTCTTCCTAACTACGAAATAAAGTTACCGACCAATACCTTTAATTCGGTTATTATAAAAACTAACAGTTATTACTTTTTTACTATTGAACTATAAAAATAAATTAAACCCTCCAAATAAAAATACACAAATTCAAAATGATCTTTTGCTAGTTGAATTTAACAATTAACATCGTAGTACTATGTATATTTTTTGTAAAACTATCTACAATATCTAGCAAAAAATTACATTTACGAAGACTATTCTAAAAACTTACCACCCTTTCACTACCTGATAACACTAAGCCAATTCTTCAACCTCTTCTTTATTTGGAATCCGATTAGAGCTATATGGATTAAACTATGGAATTAAATTTGGTTCTACTATGATCTAGTTTATCATTAAATAATGCGTAATCTATTTGCGATCATCCTCTTCATTCGTTTTGCTTCTTTATACTGAATATCTCTATGATATCCTATGCGTAAGACCATCCCGCCTAATAAAATATTAGGCGGCCAGTATAATTTGATAACTACATCACAAAGTTGATCAAATGTTAGACTTGTATTCATCAAACACAAATTATTTAATAAATGTTTAAAATTTGTATTTACTGAATACTTAATGTTTTATAAATACCTATTTGTATTTAAAATAAGCATTTAGTTATTATTGTAATAGAATACAAATTAAATATTAATTATTAAATACTTTATAATTGCTGCTTTAACAAAACACTTAAAAAATATTTTAAATTAATACTTATTAATTGCTATGAAAAAAAATACCAATTAAATATTTGAATTTATTATTAAAAAGGCATAAAATATGAACATTTAATAAATTTTATTATTTTTTATATAAGCCTTAGAGGCTTTTTATAAGTGCCTTTGGTATAATGATAATATAAACTTTATTTTATTTTTAATTTCCAAGTGAAGCATTAATGATACAAATTATGAAGGCTAACTATAAGAAAATTCATAAACTTTGTTATCAAGAAAATGTCCTAATTAGTATCATGAGTATCACGTGATATAGATTAACAAATTGATAATCTTTTTTTTACAAATTTTTTTTAACAAAGCTTCACCTTTTCCCTCTCTCACACTTTTTCCATTTTCCTTTTCTTCGTTCTCTTCCTTTTATTTTCTTCCTTTCACTCTCTTCTTTTTCATTTCCCTCATTTTTTTTTCTGTTTTTTCTTCTTTTTCATCCTTTCCCTCTTCTGTTAAAAAAAAAGAAAATCTACAAAAAAAACCAAAAATCCTTTTTTAGATAATCTTCCAGAATACGACATTTCTGGTAAACTATATTTTTCTTCAATTATATTATTTTAACGAACTAGTTTCTAATGACTTATTTCTTACTTTTTTTTAGATGGTTTCTTAGTTTCTTTTGACAAGTTTTCGGTATATTTTTTTTTGTTTTCTTTAATTTAGCTACTTTGACGAACTGTTATTAACAGTTCACTTTTTTTTTTTTTATAGGGCTCTTCAAATTTTTATCACATTAGCAACATTCCTTTTTATTAAAATACTGTAAAAATAAGCTTTTCATCACAGATCTATTCACGGAAAATGTAAATAATTCGATAAATTCTGTGATATAAAGTTATTAATTCTGGAAATATGCAGAAAAAAAATGGAGAATTGACTTTTTTACAGAAATACTTTGTTTTAAAAAAAACTTGAAAAATATCTGTAAAAAAAAATTCTTTTTTTAGGCAGTTATTTCAGTCTCCCTGGACGTGGCATTTTGGTGGTAAGCTTTGATATTTTTTTTCTTCAATTATTTTTATTTTAACAAAATAATTTCTAATGGATCATTTTCTTTTTTTTAGATAGTTTTGTCCTTCGTATATTTAGATGCGTGGAAATTTGGTAGGAAAAAAAAGTGGGAGTAAGTATATTCTTTATATTATTTTATATTGACGAAACGTTTATTAACGTTTTGATTTTTTCTTTTTTCAGATGGTTTTTAGATTTCGTTTAATGTACGAGTTTTCAGTTTTATCTTTTTTAAAAACTCTTCTGGTAAGACAATTTTATTTACTAATTTTTTTTATTTTTAGATGAACTTTACTAATAGTTCATTTCTTTTTCTTTTTTGGGCAAATTCAGGTTTCTTAGTAGTAGACAGCTTAGACCTTCGAATACTTAAATGCGTGGAAATTTGGTAGAAGAGGAGCCATTTTCTATTATTTTTTAATGAAACATTTACTAATGTTTCATCTTCTTTCTCTTTTTAGATGGCTTCTTCTTCAGGGTTTTTTAAAGCACGCAGAATTACGGTATTTAAGTTTGATTTCTCAAACTTCTTTATTATAATTAAATGTTAATCTAACGATTTCATTTTTTATTCTTTTTTAGGCAGATCTTCATCTCTTTGGATATTGACATTTCGGTAAATAATTTTTTATTTTTTTATTTATTTTAACAAAACACTTATTAATGTTTCGTCTTATTTCTTTTTTTAGTCAGCTTCTTTGAAACTTATTTGACGCAGATTTGTAAGTTTTTTCTTCAATTTATTTTATTTTTTTCTTTTATTTATTTTGGTTTATTAACTTTTCGTTTATTACTTCTTTTTTAGTCAACTTCTTCAAAACTTCTTGAGTACGAATTTATAAGTTTTTTCATTTTAATTTTAATTTGTTTCTTTTAATGAAGGTTATTAATATCTGTTTTCTTCTCTTTTTTAAATGGTTTGCTTTTCAGATCTGGATGCGTTGGATTTAGGTAAGCTATTATTTTTACTTTGTTATTTGTTTAATTGTTTTAATGAAATGAACGAAACATTTTCTAATATTTAGATTTTTTTTAAACAGTTGAGTTTTTGGTGTGGAATATCGGTAGAAAAAATCAAGAATGATTATGGTACGTTTTGCCAAAACCCATTTCTTTGAGGCCATTTTGCCGTATGAGAATTTCACAGAAAAGATATTTCATCAAATGGGCGTTTTATCGAATAGTCATTTTACTGAATCCTTTTCCTCTTCGTCAAAAAACATTTTACCAAAAATATTATAATTCCTTAATCATTAACAATTTGATACAGAGAAAATAAAAAATGTCTCAGAAATTGATGAGTATGATGAATTTGTTAAATAAAATTAATTTCCTTTAATAAAAAAATATATATACAAATGCGACTTATAATGTACAAATAATTGTTTTTCTTTAAAAAGAAAGGAAAATTGAAAATTCCATATATTTGATGAAGTGTCCCTTCGGCGAGATTATTTCGGTGAAATGTATTTCAGTAAAATGTCCATTTGGGAAATAGCATTCAGCAAAATGGCACTTTGGTGAAACATCTCTTCTTTTTTTCTGTTAGGTCTTTGGGCAGTGTTGGCCAGTGACCCAAATGACCTCAAATGACTCAAATGACTGGTCATGTGTCATTTGGGTCATTTCAACATTAAATGACAAATGACCTAGTCATTTAAAAATTACATCATAATTCTGGCCAGAACTATTCATACAATTTCACTATTTCATGGATAAAATTTTCACATGATATTAGAGGTTCATAATTTTGGCCAGCATCATTAACTTGGCCTGAATTATAAAGCATTAATTTTAAATGACTCAAATGACTAATGACCTAAATGACTAGGTTATTCGAAGGTCATTTGTAGGTCATCTCAAAATGGGCAAATGACCTAGTCATTTGCCATCACTGTCTTTGAGCGCGTATAATTTTGATAAGGAATTTGAAATATTTTTTCAGATATACTTCTTTTAGTGAAACGTTTTTATAAATGTTTTAATTTCTCATTTTTTACACAATCTAATAAAATTTTTAATTTTAAATGGAATCATTGGAGTGGGAAAGTAAATTAGTCATATTATAAAAAATACTGTATATTATACATAAATATAATAATAAAATAAATATAAATATAATAATAATATTATATGGTAAAATTATAATAAAATATGTAATATATTATTATTTAATTTAAGCATTTTAGGTATACTAATTTCTATTAAATTATGAGTAATAAAAAAACAATGCTTATCGAATACAAGCTGCGTTGAAACTTGTTTAATAAGCACTTAAATTAAATATTCTTTAAGCATTTAATAAATGGTTGGTAAATGCTTAGTTTAACTTCGTGATGTAGCTACTTTAATTACAAAATGATAAAAAATAAAAGTAAAAAAAGTATAAATAATGATTGTACACATGATAGTAATAGTGATCATAAGTCTGAGTATAATTTAGTAATTTATATATATATGTATGTAGTACGTATGTATATATATTTGATCTTACTAAAAGCCCAATGCTTAATTAGTAGTTTTCTTTATGGTAATTAACAAGTATTAATTTAAAATATTTTTTGAATGCTTTTTTAAAGCAGCAATTATAAAGCATTTATAATTAATATTTAATTTGCAATATATTACAGTAATAACTAAATATTTATTTTAAATACAAATAGGTATTCATAAAATATTAAGCATTCAGTAAATACAAAATTTAAGCATTTATTAAATAATTTGTGTTTGATGAATACAAGTCTAACATTTGATCAACTTCGTGATGATGTTTAATTAATATATAAATTAAAGTAATTTACTGTGCAATAATTAAATGAAAATAATTAATTTATATAAAATAATAAAAAATAAATTAATTAATTAAAAACTATTTCAATAAAATAAAATATTAAATGCTAAAAAAAATCGAATTACTGAGCCACAATAAAAGATTCGATTTTTAATTCGATTTTTGATTAATCGAATTAGATTCGATTAATTCGATTTTGCTAGAATCGATTCCATTCTCTAGTCTGCAATACCTGTGCGACATAAAAACATATTAACGGCAGTGCTCTTAACGGGTCAAGCCAGGTCGGGTTTCAAAGAATATATCAACCCAATCTGAATGAAAAAAGAAAAAACTCAAAAAATAACCCACTTAACCCGTTTAACCCAGGTTTAGACTTGGATTGCTTGATTCAAATTTGCTTTCCAAATTCCAATAATAAAAAATTGATCTTAATATTATTATTTAATTTATTCAAATTAAACTTAAAAATAAAAAATTATTAAATTGACTTTTATAAAGATAGGAATTTCTTTTAAATTTTTTTACTTCAGATAATTAAGACACTGGACTATACGATGGATTTTTGCATTTTCATGGTCTTGTGAAAGATTTCTTTCCTCAAAGAGATTTTTTGGTAAAAAGATCACTACGTTTTCCAAGACGCTGAGTTGGGTCAAGAAAATGTGTAACCCGCGGGTCATAAAATTATCAGTATCGACCCGACTTTTAAATCGGGTCGGGTCGAATCATCCCGGGTTGACTCGTGCGGAGCACTAAATTATTTAACGCTTGTTTTTCCCAGAGATAAAAATTTATCTCACTCCGGAACGTAACACTATTTTTTTTGTCTGAGCCTATTATCACTATAAAATCTGGAACTAATGCATAAATACACCAGCTTCTACTTCTGCTAGCGTCACTGCCACTCGGTCACGCTAGCGGATGATATGTAATAGTTATGATTTTCACGACTGCGCCATGAAAATCATGATATTCCAGGTGACTCCGTGAAATAACTGATTTTTATCTCACGGTATCCGTACCATAAAGTCCTTTAATATACTTATTTTGACTAATATAGACTTTTTACCCATCTTTTTAAATAAACACCACCCGTGAGAATATCAAGAAAAAAAATCACAAATTTTAACTAGGAACCGTGGAATAATAAAAAATATAAAACGAAGGAGCTTATCGATTTTTGCGAAAGAGGACTTAGAACTTGAGGGGGGGGGACTTGGAAATAATTCGCAAGCAAAAGGTTAATGGCTGTGACTTCCTCAAGACTATCGAAGAGGAGTTTCTTAGTTATGGAATGCCAAATCCAAATCACTAGAATAATCGGATTACTAACATTAAAATTTCACTGCGCATTAATTATTAAAGGCGCATAAGCCGCATATCTTCTATTAATGTTTCTTTAAACAGAACAAATACATCATAAAAAAAGGAGTATCGTAAATTCTAAATCCGGATATTAGGATAATCCGGAAATCACTAGAAATAATCGGATTATCTTAGGATAATGACAAAATCACGTGCCATTTATTGAGTTCATTACATATCTTCTATTAATGTTTCTAAATCCGGATATTAAGATAATCCTAGGATATTATTTATTCAAGGAAAGCTCTATACTCCGCGAGACCCAATTAATAATTATTTTTTATTACGCCTTAACAGTGGGTAAAATTCTATTTACTATTATATAGCAACTCGAATTGGCATTACATCCGAAATTTATAAAAAAATTAATCAAAAAATTAATTAATAATTAATCACGCACATATATTGAAACATTTGATATGCTATGCTGAAACAATTATTACTTCAAGTCATCACGAACTTTGCTAAAAGCAAGAATTTTTAAAATGAGACAAATAAATTAATTAGTCTGTAATTTTCTATATATATAACGCCTGTTCAGAATGGTTGATATATTATCATTTAAATAACTCTCCATCAAGGCTAATATTACACTCCTTTATTCCTTAAAATTTAACTTATACAAAAAGATTTCTTCTGTTCTGGATATAAACAGAAAATTTGGATATCTAACATATTCTAATCTTACAATTAATTTTTAACGCTACCCATATTATCCTACCATCCTACCTTATAAAAGCAATGAAATTTTTTCTTTGGCTTCTCATTATCTGTTGTATTGTCTGTAGCATGCCGGTTCATGCATTACCTGCTCATGAAGGTTAAAATCCATTTACTTTATATTAAATTTTTCTCGTAAATATTACAATATATAATATATTTAATGCTTGTTTGATATTTCATTGATAGATCAATCTTTCGGTCTCGTGAAGCGTTGTAGTTTTCTCTCTAGGCTTATTGGTGATTGTGATGATGGGGTTGATTTTGGAGGAAATTGCTCGGTTCTACCTTGTAAAAAGGATCTGGAATGTAAGAATAATCAAAATGGAACTCCAACTTGTACAATCAAATAGAAGTATTCGGCACTTTTTTTCCGTAAAAAATCGAAAAAAGTCCATCATATGAAACTTTTTTATACATCTATAGCTTGAAATTTTGTTTTTTAAATTTTACACAAAATTAAAATAAATTTTTTTACTTATATGTAAAATTCAAATTTTACTTTATAATCATTCTTGAGTTCCTAAACAAAAATAACAAATTAATTTTTGCGTGGGCATTATATATTGTTAATTTTAAGAATAAAACATACCCCTCATAAATTTTATAATCAGAAAGACTAAATATATATATTTAAATTTTCATAAAATTTCATTTTGATTTTTATTATAATCAATAAAGCAAAGGCACGTAAGATTGATAGTGCCGAATCTAAAATGAAGAAACATCTTGAGGTCTCATTTTCAGTTATTTTGATTTTGGGAAAACTGTATATACAGTAAGAGCCTGTTAAGAATCGGGACCAATCAGATTTTTGATTCTTAACAGGTTCTTTTTTTTATCATTAAATATCAGTATTCTGATAGGCCTATAAATTTTACCCTATGAAATACTGATAATTTTTAAGAGATATCGGGTTCAAATTTGTAAAAAGTTGGTTTCCCGATCATTAATTGGTAAATCTCCAGTTTATCAATTAATTATTGCCAAATCGCCAGTAAATCACACATACATGCATTTTTTATTTCTAAAAAAAATTTTTTTTTCCAGAGTACGCAAATAATTCCAAAGTCCGAACACTATCGGTTTTGACTTCTTTATTTAATAACATTCTGGTAGTAGGTTTTTAATTAGAAGGTTTTGTACACCAAATTTTAAGTGCTGTTTACTAGTTAAATGTACATCCTGTTATATGCATATGATTACGCAAGTTTTTTCGTAAATTAAAATGATACGTTATGAATTTTTATTACTATTTTACATATTTTTCAATACAAATGTAGTTTAACCCAATATATTATGTTGTTTATTGCCATTAAATAGTGCATATAAATATTATATACTATTAAAAAGGCCGAAGATAGTATCATGTATAAACCGCAGTATTGCCGTTCACATGATTTCATGATTTTTATACCGATCATTTCTAAAAAAAATATGATTAATTAATATCTGGTATACCGATCAACTTTCACAACTGATAGTTGACTAGTTGACTAGCCAAATTTAAACATATTAATAAGTTTAATGTCAAAACTTTATTCGCATGTCACAAATTAATTATTTATTGGGAAATAATCCGATGAAACACCCCAGTCAAATGATTGACATAGTTTCTAAGCTAAGTGGGCGTGCACTACATCCTAGCTTATAAACTGCCCATGGGCCAGATTAGCCCACGAGATCTGATTGGTCCAAACAACTTACCAATATTTAATTACAAAAAAATCAATTCTAGAACTTTTGACTAGATATTCACTAATAAACTCATCGTTAAGGATTGCATTAATGAACTTTTTGTACCACCTTGTAACTATAAAAAAGGCAAAAATTTTCAAGGTTACACATTAATTTGGCCAGAATTAAGTTAATTTCGCCCAATGAAATTTGGCCAGCATTATGAATGTAAATATTTTAACTAATCATTCAGTAATCATAAATAAATAAATTATAGCTTGTTGGCTTTATCTCATCAAAATATGCTAAATGATAGTAATTTCATATTTCTATTATTAATAAATAAAAAGTTATTAGCATTCAGTTTATAAATATTTAAAAATATAAAAAATTATTTCAAGAAAATGTTAATATCTTATTATTTATTTATTAATCCTAAAGGTATAAAACTGCTACCATTTAAAATATCTCTTTAACAAGCTATATTTTATCTTTCTATCTACTGTAATTACTTGATTTCAAGTTAAAGCAGTTTAGCTTTTAACAATTTATTAATGTATTTAATCAGATAATAGTAGACATTTGTTTTTTTTTTAAAATCAGATATACTAGATATTGTTTTATTATTAATTTAATATATAAAAGGTATATGAACATTGTGTTTTACAAATATTATATAAAAATTTTGTAAAGAAAATTACAAAAATTTATAATTGATATAATTAATTAATAATTTAATTTATTATTCTAATTGTTATAAAATAATACATTACATATTATTTATGAAAGTTTACTTTAACATAATGTATATATATTATATTAAGAATATATAAAAAAAAAATGTATAAATTGTTTAATTATCCAATTCATTATATACTATCTTTGTAGCTAATGTTATATAAAATACTATTTATTTAATGCTATTTGGCATTTAAAAAATTGGTTTATTGAAAAAATATTGACTTTTTGGCTTTTTTTATTTTTTTACTATTAGATGCCAATTATTTAAAAATTGTCAGAAAATTGGATCCTTCAATTATTAGTAAATTAAATATATATAGAAGTTACATAAACATATTGATATTTAATGTAATTTGGTATTTAAAATTATTTTATTAGTAAAATATTAATTTTTTCATTTTTCTACTTTTTTTTTATTAGACGCAAATTATTTTAAAAATTGTCAAAAAATTAGATTTTTTAATTATTAGTATATTACATATGCAAAAAAAGAAGTTATAAAATATACCTATTTAATGCAATTTAGCAATTAAAAAATTATTTTATTAATAGACTATTGATTTTATTTTAGTTTTATTTTTTTTCTTAATTAGGTATAATTTATTTTAAAAAATATTAGAAGATTAAATGATTTGATTCTTTTAATTATTAGTATATTATATATTTACAGATATACCTATTTAATAGAATTTAATATTTAAAATTATTTTTATTAATATAAAACTTAATTTTTATTTTGTTTTTATTTACACTATTTGTTTATTTATTTTTTTTATTGGACACAAATTATTTTAAATATTGTTGAAAATTGGATCAACAAAATCATTTATTAAAAAAATTTTGGATTTGTAAAATATATTGATAAATATTTACTGCAATATTTGCAAATCCAAATTTTTTAATAAATGATTTTATTGATCCAATTTCTAACAATATTTAAAATAATTTGTATTTACATCAGGAAATTTGTTTAGGCGTAATTTAGTGTAATATTTCGAAGGTGGTGTAAAATTTCGAAATATTACACTAAAAACGTAATATTACAAAGTTTACGCTCTTAAATTTGAATAATTATAGTAATTTAAGAATATCTCGCTATCTACTGATCCAATCAAGACGATCTATAGCTCATTAGAATCAGCTCATCAAGACGGATCGAATGGTAGTAAATTCACATTTCTACAGTTGATAGAACGCTCTATAGTATGCAGTAAAGTTTTAAATTAATAGAAAATCATCTATCGAACGTAAAGATACGATTTTACTACCATTCGATTCGTCTTGATGAGCTCATTCCAATGAGCTATAGATCGTCTTGATTGGATCAGTAGATAGCGAGATATTCTTAAATTACTATAATTATTCAAATTTAAGAGCGTAAACTTTTGTAATATTACGTTTTTAGTGTAATATTTCGAAATTTTACACCACCTTCGAAATATTACACTAAATTACGCCTAAACAAATTTCCTGATGTAATAAAAAAAAATAAAAAAAAAAATAAATAAATCTATACTATATAATAATTGTTTTTGTGTATAACCGTAACGTTTAGACTATACTGGTTGAAATCAAAACTTTCGACTGTTAAGAGCTTTCAGCATAATTTTTGCTAATTGGTCATGTGATTCGTCACATTTTTTGACCAACGGCAAAAATCAGTAAAATCAATCAAAATCGATTGATACTGATTGTTAAACGAAAACTCGTTCAGTCTTTTGGTGAAAAATCGATTTATACCGATTGTTATATGCACTGGTCGAAATCATTTATTTCGTCAATAAAACCTTTCGGCAATAATTTGGCAAATCGATCACATGATTCGTCACACATTCGGTTAATTACAAAAATCAGAAAAAATTCGGCATAAATCAACTGGTCGATTTTTTATTAACAACACGATCGACTTGGAATATTCGGCCTTAATACAAATCACTGGTCAAAATCAAAACTTTCGACCGTTAAGAGCTTTCGGCATAATTTTTGCCGATTGGTCATGTGATTCATCCCATTTTTTGACCAATGGCAAAAATCGGTAAAATCAATTACAAATCGACTGATACTGATTGTTAAACGAAAACTCGTTCAGTCTTTTGGTGAAAAATCGACTTATACCGATTGTTATATGAAAACTTGTTCCTTTAAGGTTGTTCAGTAAATTTTGCCGATTGGTCACATAAATCGACACAATTTTGCCAAATAGTAAAAAACATTATTTTTTAATTCGAATTTTATACTTTGTTTACATTGTTTATATTCAGTGCATAATCATTAACGAAAATTTTTATTGTAAAATGAATTTCGTCTTGTTTTTCGTCAAGTAATTATAATAAAAATACTACAAAAGAATCTTTTCGTAAAATGAAATTTCGTCTAATAAACGTGTCTCTCGTCAAGTAATTATAAAAATTAAAAAATAAAAAAAATAATTCGGCCAATTTTTACCAAAACACTTAATTATTAACGAATTTGGAGTTTGCGATTAATTGGATTAATCGCAAATATTCAATAGCATTATTTCGAGTAGAATTCGATATTTTGATGGTATAAATCGACAAAGGATATTATGTACAGGAATAATACAATCGCAGCTTTCATCATAAAATTCAGATTTCCACAACTCGATGTTACAGCTCTCATCTTCATCATCAATATGAAAATAATATCAACTTTCACTCGTACTAGCTGGTCGATACCAATGAATATATGCCAAATTATGTTCCATTTGTCCATTTGGCAAGTCGACTGTATGTTTGAAGAAGTATTGAATTTGTCCAGGATAACTGTCGACTTCCCCATTACTAATTATAAATTTGGCTAGGACACACGAGCTTTTTGTATGTCGAACTGATATTGCGAAGCCAAATACTTCAGAACTAATTCGGCATCTTCCAAATTGATTTATCTTTACTCGAATTGTTATAGAATCTTGGATAATTTCATCTGCTGGTTTGCGAAACTGGTACATTTCAATATAAGAAGCATTATAAAAAGCAACCATCAGTTCGAGCATTGATTCAGTCATTATTGCTTCGGAACTAGGCTTCAGCATTTCTCCAGAAAATGGCTCGCATCCAGTAATGGTCGATTCCTGTATGTTTTTAACATTTAGCCAAAACCGCTCTAGTTTATCTGAAGAAAATTGGTCTGCAGCCGATATTGATGAACCAGTTGTGGGCCGATCTTCAAGCAATTCTAAGCCTTTCGTTTGAATGTCAGAACTAATGATATCTCCAATTCAATTATCATTCATTATCTGACGCATTGTTTCCAGTTCAATTTGTCTATTATTTATTGGCAACAAGCCTTAAAAATTATTAAAAATAAGACTAACAATGTAAACATTTGAATAAAGTAAAAAAAGTAAAAAAAAGAATATCTTACCGAGTATTTCATTCATACGCTCAAATGAAAAATACCAAAATGCATACAATGGACCAAAATCATTCGAACAATCACACAAATTGAGCGAAAGGTGAAGATTAGGCGTAATTTTTACTCTTCCATAATGTACTTCAATAAGCTTAATTATTTTAATTGGCCTCTCATGAGCTTCTTCTATTAATTCAATTTCTAAAATTCGGCTTACTAAAATAGAACAAACTCTACCGAAATGTGTCAAGATTTTTTGATCTTTTGACGGTAAATGTTCCCACAATGAGGTAGTTGCATAGATCATAAAGAAAATTCATCACTGATCAGCTGTATAGTTTGAAAACCCTTCTCCGCGCTCAATATTCTCGGAAATTCATCCCAAATCAGCCAGTATTTTGAATTGATTCATTTTTTCTTGAATCTTCTTTAGATCGTTCGGGGTTAAAACACTCTCGTCGATCCAAATCCTCTTCATTATCCACCTTGCAATTCCTAAGAATAAGCAGTGCATTGGATCTACAATAATAAAACGAATTGGGTCAAAGTACGGCAATTGAAGTAACTCTGACCACTTAACCCCTTTTTCACTAATGAAATTCTTTTTTGAATTGGTGGAATTGCAACTTTGCCATGCAAGAGCATTCTGACAATGTTCGGTCAAATCACGAGTAATGAACCAATTCTTCATATCCTCCATACCTGCAAAATTATGTTGGTGGTCTTCATAATTTGCTCGTTTCATACACCGATGGTAAGAAACTAAAGCTGAAATATGCCCGCATATTTTTTGAGCAGCAGGGATATCGCACAAAATTAGTACTAAAGCCACACGAATATTTTTCCCGTTTTGGCACTCAAATGTTCGATTTAAAGTTATTCCACTCCATAGTAACTCTAATTCATTGACAATAAGCGCAATATAATGATTAATCTTGTGCAAGCTTACTTCGTTCAGTACTGGTAGTAGACCGAGAATCAGCAAATTTTCACACTTGAACTGAATGTCACGGGGTAAATTACAGATAGCCGCGTAAATTACCCTGATACTATAAAATGTACCATCGTAGGGCTGGAACCAATCAAGGTTTATCATAGTCCTAGATGTAAATCAGCTACTTCTGGTCAGAAAAATTTGGCTGAATTTTCATCATCAGTTTCTCTTAATGTTTTCCAGATTTGACCGTCATATATATCGGTCAGTATGTTATCGAATTGTCGATGATTTGACCAATGTCGAAGTAACCGTTCAAAGTGAGGTCGACGATATAGAGTTTCCAATTGTTAATAAATCGGTACAAATGGATATATTAATTCTGGCTTTTTAATCTCCAAGACCATTTGACACGATTTCATCCTTCGAGACGCAGAATTTGGAAATTTGACGTGACTGCCACTGGTCGAATGATGGCATATCGGTATTATGGCATATCGGTCAGATATCATAAACCTGATATGCCATGATAGCTCGTATTAAAATCATATACATATCATTAACCCGATATGATAATGATTTTTTACTGATATAAACCATTATTTCCAAAAAAACGTCATAAAGGTATCAGTAAACCTATCAGTAACCTGATAGGTTATTGATATTTATATGATATTTAACTAACATTATAAATAAAGTATCAGTAAAAAATCAGTATTTCATATGTAGATCATTTTACAATGCTGCGGATTTAATAATGATACAATATCATGTAATTAAACTATTTAAACTATAAATAAACAATCATTGTTTGTTTTTTTAAGTATACCGGTCTTTTTCTTTCTTTTTTTACAAAAGTTTAACGAACATAAGATACGAAATAAAATGTATATTTGTACATTTTATAGCTTCTAGACTGCCATTTCAGACTGGTAAGCTTAGAAAAAAAGATTTTTAAATAGAAGGAGTATAGGAATATAATAACCTTCTATTATATTTTTTTTAGCTTCCAAGTTCTGACTTCTTTAGACCGCTGAACGGACTGTTAAGCTTCAGAAAAAAAGCTTTTCAAATAGGTGTAATTCTAATAATTTGGGTATTTTATATTTAAGATAATTTTAAATAAAAAAAATTATTATTTTAGGATGCCGTTGCTTGCCGAAACTGCTGAAACTGCACAGTATATCATATGATATTATGATATACATATAGTTTCAGCATTTCTTTATTCAGTTAAGCTCTGATCAGTTTTTTAACTAATCATTGATAATCTGCAAACATGCTTTTTTTCATTAAATAAAAAAATTTTTGACTTTTAGGTTACCGTCATCCATATTTTTTCAAACTGGATAACGAATATCCAAATCGTAAATATTATTAATAATTTTTTTTATTCTCTATATTATTAATCAAAAAGATGATTATAAATCAAAAATATAGATAATATTTAAACAATACAATATAAAGTAATAATAATAGGCCGAAATATAGAATTTTGTCTCATAATACTGGCTGAAGAGTACCAAATTTGTATTTCATTTAATAAAGATAATTTTACAATAGATAATTATAGAAATGTTGTCTCCTAGGAACTTGGAAGAACCCGGTAAAGTATATGGGAAGGGTAGGCATTTAATTATATTAAAGAAACGTATTAACGTTTCTTTTTTTCATTTTTTTAGGTTACCAGTCTCCTAGAAACTTGAAAGAAACCGGTAAAGTATATGGGGAAGGGTAGGCATTTAACTGTATTAAAGAAACGTACTAATGTTTCTTTTTTTTTTTGTTTTTAGGTAATATAGATGTATTTATAGCTTACAGGTAAGATCAGATAATCAATTTTAACAATTTTAACAAAAAAATTATTCATTATTTTAGGACGTCGGACGCTGAAAAATTTATTTCATGGAATGCTCGTTGGATGGTCAAGATATCAAACTATCGGAACCAGTGATCATTGTATATAATAACGAGAATATGGAAAATATGGTTAGGAAAGATCTCAACCTCTTAGACGAACTGGACTTATACAAGAGGTGAGTTAAGTGGGTGTGATGTGTTAAATAAGAAACTTTTCTAACGTTTCTTTTTTCTTTTGTAGGAATGCCAGAAGCCAGACTTTGGGCGAAAGGTAAATGGGAAGGGCAGTTTTATCTTTTTTTAAAGTTTTTTCTTTTAATTTTTTAGAAATACGACTAATGTTTCTTTCTTTTATAGGGAACGCTGGACGAAGTTACAAATCGACTACCAAAACTAGTTTTCAGCATCTCATTAACGGCTGGGTTACGTTTCAGGTTAGTTATTGGATTATTATTAACTGCGATTTCAGTTAAACAAACTGATTTATTAATGATCCAACAATCTATTTTTTTTTTTTTCAAAAAAAACTTTTATTTTTAAATCGAAAGTCGGAGTTCAGAAGGTAAAAATGGAAATTACATAATATATTATAAAATATATTTTTCTGTTATTTACTAATACTTTTTGCTTTTAGAAACGAAATTCATACATGCGGTCCGTTGTGGACTTGTGGTATTACGAGAACAACAGGAATGAACTCTTTTAGCAGATTCTCTTCACAGTAGGTCCTTCGGGTGTATTAATGGCGTTATTAAACTATATTAATGCCTTTTTTTATTTTTTAGGTTCCTGGAACAACTTTTCACAGTAAGTTTTTTTGGATGGACATTAATGGCGGCATTATTAAACTTTGTTAACCTTTTTTTTTTATTCTTTAGTTTTCTAGACGATTCTAAACAATTTTTTGTGGTAAGTTTCTTTGGGTGAGCATTATTGGTATTAATAGCAATACTAATGCTATTTATTTCTTCTTTTTTTTTAGGTTTCTAGACGATTCTTGGACAATTCGTATGGATGTTGATGGCGACACTGTTAAACTATATTACTGCCGCCTTTTTTATTGTTTTAGGCTTCTAGATGATCTAAACAACATTATATTCTTCATGGTAGGTTTTTTGTATGGTATTAATGACATATTATTTAATAATGTTAACGCTTTTTTTTCTATTTTTTTTAGATTTCTGGATGATTCTTGGACGTGGTCAGTAAATTTCTTTGGATAATTATGTGATGGCGTTAATTGTAATACTAACACCATTATTTATTATATTTTTAGGCTTTTGAACAATTTTTGGGTGAAACATCATGGTACGTTGGTTCTTTAAATGGTGTGATAATGGTGCTATTAAACAAAACTAATAATGCCTTCTTATTTTTGTAGGTTTTTTGGATGGGAAACATAGACGTGATGAGATATTAAAGACATCTGAGACGTATTAGAAGTTGTTTATTGAAATCGAACTAACTGGGACAATGTTCCAAACTATTAACAACATAGTTTAGAAAAATAAAATATTAATGTAACGCATATAATAAATATCTAGTTTTAAGTAAATAAAATAAATAAATGATGTTTATTAATAAATAATAATATATAATACACATAAAAATCAGTAAAATATCGGGATATATCAGGATATAATCAATGAAACATCATATTTCCCTATAAAAAGTCTACATCCTTAAACTGTACTAGTTTTATGGTTAAAATATCCTTATATAGTAATAATATTCTTAAAATATACTGAAATTTGTACTAACAGTATATTTAAAATAGTGTTCTATAATAATAAATAAGTTTAAATTATACTAAAAATATACTTAATTTTTAAATGTAATATTTACTGGTATTTTAAAATATTCTGATTAGATATGGAAAATATCCTTAAAAGTAATTTATCAGTAATTTAGGTATGTTAATATAATATTCTTAAAATATACTGAAATTGTACAAATGGATATTTAAAATAGTGTTTC